TTCTTGTTCCAATACCATGCAGTTTTGATGATTATGGCTTTGTAGTATAGTTTGAAGTCTGGGAGTGTGATGCCTCCATTCCCCTCTTTTTTTTTTTCAGGAGAGCTTTGGCTATTCGGGGTTTCTTGTGATTCCATATGAATTTCATCAATAATTGTCCTATTTCTTTGAAGAATGTCATTGAAATTTTGATTGGAATAGCATTGAATCTGTAGATTGCTTTTGGTAGGATGGCCATTTTAATAATGTTTATTCTTCCAATCCATGAGCAGGGGATGTCTTTCCATTTCTTTGTGTCTTCTTCTATTTCTTTTAACAGTGTTTTATAGTTTTCTTTGTATATGTCCTTTACCTCTTTTGTTAGATTTAGTCCCAAATATTTGATTTTTTTTGTTTCAATAATAAAAGGGATTTTTTTTTAATTTCTTCTTCTTCAGATTTATTGTTTGTGTATAGGAAGGCTACTGACTTTTGCGTGTACTTCACCAACTCTTTTCTTGTCTCTGGAGTTTTGGCTTATGAACCTAACTCCAGTAATAAAACTCCAGTAATAAAAATATTTTCAAAATTGATAAAAACTAAATAGGTATTAAACATATGTCCATAGTCAGAGTTCCAAGGAACTTTTATTATAAACCTGTGGCTTATGGATTTCTGAGATTATCAAAGTTGAATACACAGGGGACTCCTGGGCCCCTATGAAAGATGCATCTGGTGCTACAGTCTGACTTCCTGAGTGTGGAGGGTAGTAAGGTTAGGCTTGAGGGCTGGCCAGGTTGGCGGTGTCTTGACACAACTGCTGGGATCTCTGCATGCCATATTTGGGAAATGGGCCCTTGGATGTATAAAGTGTGGCAGCGAGGGGTGGAACCACTTCCGTTTGGAAAAGAGACCAGAAATGGCAGCAGCAGGGTTTTGAGCAGAGACCACTCAGGGACAGGGGAGCCATGGTATGCAGGGGGTAGAAGAAAACCCCACTGGGAACCCAGTAGGCAATCTGAAAATGGAAATCAGGGCTAAGGCCCTGAATAGGAACTAAATCATTCTTGCAGGTGGGCTGAGCCCAGTGCCTGCTGTGTTACTGCTGACAAAAGGGGCATCCAAAGGCCAGAAGGGGTACTTCTGGAAGGCACGTGGAACAGGATTGACAGCAGGGGCTGAATCCTGAGGTTTGCTATCATCATTCTCTCCTGCCTGAGTTCCCTGTGGGGCCTCTTTTCATGCATGTTCATGTATCCTACTGAGTTGAGTTAGCAGGATCTCTGCTGGCTCCCTTGAGCATGGAGGTGCGCAGGATAGAGTATGAAGACTTTCAGAGTTAGTTGGAGTACATTCAGCCCAGCTCTGGATTACACACGGGAAAACTGAGTCTCAGAGAGGATAGAGGTCTGTGTGGTCAGTCACTGGCAGATAGGACTTCCACTGAAACTCCCTTTTCTCAGTCCTTGCTCCGACACCAGTGCTCCTCTCTAGTTTCTTTCCTTGATCCCTGCTCCTTGTCCCTTAGCCCGACTACAGCCACTAGCCCTTGATCTGATGATGGGATATTTGCACTGAAATTTGTAGCCGGGGGTATGTTGGGGGTGGCAGGGTGGGGAGAGAGAGCTCACAGGCTGTGTCATAGCCAAGCATCTGAACGTGGTGCACAGGGTGAGGGTTCACTTCTTCCACTTTGTCACCTCAGTTATCATGATGACAAAATCATGTACCATTAGTGAATGCATCAGGCATTTCTAACCCATTATGAAGATAACATGGGATAGTTGTCAAAATCTTGGGGGTTTTTCTTTTTTTGTGTGTAGAAGAACTGGGGTATAGGCCAGACGTGTGGAGTTGAGAGGATTCACTAGAGGCAGAGTGGGGAGCAGAACAAGCAGGTTTACTGAAATATGCTGCTGAGGGGAGCAGCGGGTGAAACAAGAGAGGTCTGCTGCACCATGTGAGTAGCTCCCTCGCCGGGGATCGAACTCAGGCCTTAGTGGTGATATTACTCAGACTTAATCCCTAGGCCATCAGGGAGGCCCTTGGTACTTACTTTAAGCTGTGTTGACCCGGTGCTTCCATGGGGTGCTCTAACTGCCATCTTCCTCTGGATTGGACAGTATCCTGTTGCCTGTATGGGGTTGGGTTAGTCAAAGTGTTGGGATTTTCTCTTGCATTCTATTCATGCATACAAGAACCGGGGTACAGGCCAGATGTGCGGAAGGGTGGGAGGATTCACCAGAGACAGAGTGGGGAACAGAACAGACTGACTGAAATACACTGCTGCGGGAAGCAGCGGGCGAGACAGGAGACATCTGCTGCTCCATGTGGGATTCTTGCCGGCCGGCCGGGATCAAACCCTCACTGCAGAGGCTGCGTGGACAGCTTCACAGTGCTGCACTCAACCACCTGCGCCACCAGGGGAGGCCCTTTTATTAAAGATTTTTAAGGGTCCCTCAGCATTCCCAAGTCTCTGGTTATTGTGGGTCAGCCTGGCTCTGAGGCTGTGTGGAGACCTGCCCAGCTGGTGGTCACCTAGTGTGATGTTCCCGAACCCAGTCATCATGGCCAGAAGCAGAGTGGCAGGGGACCAGTGGTGATGGGGCTGGGTTTACTGTCAGGAAGATCTGGGAGGGTTTTCAGGGAGGCAGAATTTGGGCCAGGCCCATGGACCACTACTTCCACCATATATGTATGAGTCAGCCCCAAGTCTTGGAGCAGAAGTGAAGTTTTGCTGTAGCTCACAGGTTCAGAGCCCCTTCTGTGTTAGGCAGGGCTTGATGTGGTTTGGTTGTTGGGAGGAGCAGAGAGCTGGTTGTCTCTGGGGGGGTGTACCCAAGGATGGTGGCAGTGTGGCCTGCAGCATCCACACTCTCCTTTCCCTCACAGCCATGGCACCCCTGTGTCCTCTCATCTCAGCTCCCAGCTTCTTGGTAAGGAACTTTGCTATTTGCCAGGGTGGGCTTGGGAGGGGGGCCACCTAACAGACCTGCATTAGGACCACTTTCACAGGGTCCAGTCCAGGAGGGGCTGCACACAGTAGTGGACCCTCATACATGGCCTCTCTGCACCTTTCACCCTTGAACCATAACAGGCCTGGCATTGTTTCCCCAATGACATATATATTTTTTAAATAAAATAGCTTTTGCCTTTTAGGGAAAAGTGGAAAATTCAGGAAAAAAATAGCATCAGAGAGCTTCCCTATAGTCTTTGCAGGTTCCCTTTGCTCAGACACAGTGCAATCTGGGCACGTGGTAGCCTCCTGCATCTCACTCGAGTGAGCACCAGAGTCAGAGAAACCAAGCTCAGCTCCCTTGTGAGCCCCTGGCAGTTATTTCTTTCTCTCTCTCTCTTTTTTTTTTTTTTTTAGAGATTTATTTATTTATACAAACACTGGGTATAGTCAGAAGTGCAGGAAGGTGAGAGAATTAACCAGAGCCAGAGCCGGGAGCAGTACAGGCAGACTGACGAAGTACATTGCTGAGGGGAGCAGTGGGCGGCAGGAGAGGCCTGCGCGCCATGTGGGACCCTCGCCAGCGGCCGGGGATTGAACTGGTGCTGCAGAGGCTGCGGGCAGTTTTGCAGCCCAGCACTCAACCATTGTGCCACCAGGGGAGGCCCACCTGGCAGTTATTTCTTAGTGTATATCCTCTACAGGATGGCAGTGACATTCTCCATCTCAGCATCTTTTAAAATCTCTGTGGTTACAAATGTCTACAGTATGTCGGCGTGTTTACACATAGACACACACACACTCATACATATGTGTATACTGTAAAATAATGGGGAAATGGAAGAGAAACATGTATAGTTATACTATAAAAAGCTTACTCCAAGGACTGTGTTTGCTATGTCTTAAGGCATTTCACATTTTAGAATTTGCTTATGTTTACTTTCATGGAAATAATGTTGTTAATGTGGCTTTTAAAAAAAATTGTGATTGAAAACATGAAAATAAAATTTATCATCTCAACCAAAAAAAATAAAAAAATGTCTGTGGTTCGACTGCACAGTACTTCCTGTGGAGTCGCCCCACGCTGGTGGGCTCTGGCTGTGCCATCCCGTTTCTCTCAGTGGGCGCTGGAGCCCAGGGAAGGCAGCTGGGGTGGGGGGGGGTGGAGTGGGAATGAAAGCATCTTGCCTGAGGTCACCTGCCCAGGAGGCGGAGTGTGCTTGGACCTGCCTCTGATTGCAGCAGTTGCAGGAGTTGACTGAGGCACAATTTACGCCCTATATTGTCTGCCTGTTGTTTGGGGGTAGGGTTGTGGAACCCTGCCCTTTCCTGCAGGGTGGGTTTGGAGCTTGGGTTCAAATCCTGACCTTCCCAGGGCTCTTGGGTGTCAGAACTGTCAGAGGCTCCTGTGGGCTTTCTTTTTCTTTTTCTTTTTTTTTAAAGATTTATTTATTTATACAAGAACCGGGGTACAGGCCAGATGCACGGGAGGGTGAGAGGATTCACCAGAGACAGAGCGGGGAACAGAACAGGCAGACTGACGAAATACACTGCTGAGGGGAGCAGCGGGCGCGACAGGGAGGTCTGCCTCACCATGAGGGACCCTCAAGGGCCGGCCGGGATTGAACCGGTGCTGCAGAGGCTGCAGGCAGCTTCACAGTGCTGCGCTCAACTGACTTCGCCATCAGGGGAGGCCCTCCTGTAGGTTTTCATGCCAGCCTTTGGCCAGCAAGTAGGAAGAAGTGTGCCTGACCTGGTCAAAGGGACACAGCAGGGAGTTGGAGTTGTGGGATCTGGGGTCCTGGGCTTATTTCCTGAGGGGTCTACCCTGGGTGGGGAGGGGCGAGGGTATGTGTGGATACTATGTAAGATGTTCAGTGATCATGGAGCTTGGGAGAACAGGCTCTGAGCTGCCCCTGCCCATCCAGGGTCATGGCTAGAGGATATGGCTGACTAGGTCACTAGTAGCTCTCCCGACACCACATCGAGCTAGGCTCCTGTGTTACTGGCCCTGCGGGTGTGAATGCCAGCTGTCCCAGCCCCATGCCTTTTGCCTGTGTTGCAGGTCCGTGGCCGAGGCCACTGAGGTGGATCTGAACATGCGCGTGGGGCTGCACACCGGCAGGGTCCTCTGCGGAGTCCTGGGCCTGCGCAAGTGGCAATATGACGTGTGGTCCAATGATGTGACTCTAGCCAATGTCATGGAAGCTGCCGGCTTACCAGGGTAAGTCAGGCAGAAGCAGTGGCCTTGCTCCGGGCCCCTGTGGGTGGGTACATGGGATTCTAATTTGACCTTCCATGTAGGGATCCCTGGAAACCCATCTGGTCCCATGCCCCTGCCAGCATAGGAGGGAGCCCTGCACTGGGCTGGCTCAGGGGCTTAGCCCTTCTCAGCCTCTGTGCACCCTTGCAGAAAGCTGGCACTGGAGGAGCAGAACAGGTGCCCATGTGTCTGCCGCTGGCTTGGATCTGTCCCGAGTACTGATTATCACTTCTCATTTTGCTCTTTCCTTTTTCCTCAAGTTTTCCTGTGCAAGGTGCTGTGGCTTTAGAGTCCTGCTAGGGAAGTCGCAGATTTTTTTCTAGAATGGGGTTGTGTCTTTTGTTGGTTCATGTTGTTCAAATGCTCTCTTTACAATTACAGCCTTTGGTCTCAGTCTTTCTTCAAACTGTCCCACAAAACCAAAGGACAATACTCTATAAAAGTTCACTGGAGAACAGAGAGAGCTTTCCTTTCCTCCACTCAGTGGAGGGTGGCAGGAGAATGACATAATTGCAGGAGAGGGACTTTGAGGCACTTATCCTGTGATCCCAACCACCTGTTGGCTGACTAAAGGCAAGCAGGTGTGTTCATAGCGGCTGCAGTATTAGCTGAGGTTCCTGTGTGCTGGCGTCAGGCTTGGATGTCAAGGCCCATGCCCTGCAGTGTAAACCTCTATGGCCTTGATCCTGGTCCCTGCTGCCCCACACTGCTTGCCCATGTTTCCTCACTCTGCCTTCCTCTCTGGTTTTATCTCTCTTGCAATATTTTTAATTTGATTTCTTCATTTGCTTTCTTCATCCGTTCATCATCTGTCCAACAAACACTTCCTGCCCCCTGATGATTTTGGGAGAGTGGTCGGACAGACAAACAGATAGACGGATGCTGTGGATCATTGCTGAGTCTTTCCCCCAACATTTCCTGCCAGGAGCCTTGTTGCTTGTTCCTGGGCACTTTCCCCAGACTGTGCCTCCTGAACCTGAGCGGGGACAAGTGGGGGGAGGTAGTACCTGTTTTATCTTCGCAACTTCATGGCCTGGAGGCCACACACAGCCTGCTCTGTTGCCTCAGACAGTCATTGGTTGGCGTCCCACATTGATGTGTTGAATGCATGTTCCAGGTTGCCTTGAAGTGAGTGAAATTAGTTCCTGAGCAATCCCCTACCCCCAGGGGAACCATAGTTAGAAGCACCCGGCTCTATCCTGCATCCCCCAGCCTTGTTGTTTTGGCCAGGACATTCCTTCAGGTACTGGGACTCTGGTCCCATGGGCCTTAGAGACCATGGACACCGGACATCTTTATTCTTGGCCTTTGGGGAAGAAGAGCTCCATGGCTGTGTCCACTCCTATGACAGATCTCAGTGAGCCACACCACATGAGTGACAGGTGGCACTCATCAGTGGGGTAACTTTGTCCCCTTTGTGGCCCTGCGGCTCAGGGCCTGCCAGGCCTCCAATTTCTTTGCCAGTCCAAGCCTTGGGTGCCATCCACTCCTGCCATGTGCTTCCAGGGCACCTGCTCTGTCCCCTTTCCTAGCACTCTGGGCTCAGCTGTGGGCACCAGGGCTACACATCTGTCTCCACCGTGGAAGGAAGGAAGGGAAGGAGAGATGGAAGGGAGACCAGTACGAACAAACATACACGCATTTGTAGAAACTGTCAGTTCCCTTGAGTCCCTTTGTAGTTTAGGGCCGGGTTGTTGGAGTGACATTGTCCAGGTGCCCACAGCCTCAGCCAGGCCGCTTGCTCCAGCATGAGCACTTGCCTTTTCCCTGAAGGAATCACTGAGAATGTGCAGTGCTGTGAGCACTTTGGGCTTGTGGGGAATGACTGTGAACACTGGGGAATTAGCTTTTTGCCCATAGACCTAAGTACTGGGACTTTGCTAAGAGCAGAGGCTGCAGCCTCTTCAAGGGCCCATCTGGATTTTCAGGCTCATGTTCTCTGCCCAGTTTTGGCAACTTGGAGGGCTTTTCCCTCCCTCTCCAGAAAACTCCCTTGGCTTAGCGTGAAGGTGGCTAGTAGCACCATTCCTATCCCACCCGTGTGGGCAGTGGGTTGTGCTGGGTCCTCCTGCCCTGCAGGAGACCCCTCAATGACTGAGGAGAGCAGCACAGCTCATGGCTCTGTTCAAATCTCTGCTTTCTTGTAGCAAGGTTCACATCACCAAGACAACTCTGGCGTGCTTGAATGGTGACTATGAAGTGGAACCAGGTCACGGGCATGAGAGGAACAGTTTTTTGAAAACACATAACATTGAGACTTTTTTCATTGTGCCATCACATCGGCGGAAGGTAAGCCCAGGACCCTTGTGTGGTCAGCTGTGCAGTGTCTCCTCAGAGACAACTGTCCCCGCTCTCCCCTCAGATCACTGCTTCTCCAGCTGGGGTTTCTGGGCAGTTGGGAGGTTTCCCACTAACTCTGTCCTCCTGGAAGGGGGAACTGGAACTCCGAGTCCAGCCATGGGGCTTTTAGAGGTGCTACCCTCCTTTGTCATCCCCCTTCCTACTTCCCTGGGCCTTCATTGGCTGTTGTGAAAATCAGGTTGAGCGCCCCTGCGGGGCTTGGGAAGGAGGCACGCGGTGGACTGAGGAGTGCTCTGCACATGGACCTGTGGCCATCGCATGTGGTGCTTAAGGGCACTCTGTCCAAGGAAAGTGACCTGGTTGTTGTGATCACAAGCTGTTGAGCAGCTTCTGGGGCCCAAGTGAGGGGTGCAAGGCTAGGTGAGCAGTGAGGGCTCAGGCTCAGGTGAGGGCTACAAAGGCAGGTTCACATGAGGTAGAGCTTTCGGGTTGGCCATCCGGTGCATGGGTGGTGCTCTTCAGCCCTGGGATGCAGAGGTCTCCCTGTGACGTAGGGCCCTGGTGGGAATGGCCCTGACAGAGAGGGGAATGGGGCTCGAGCATTTCAGACCTGACCAGTGAGTACGTTCCTGCAAAAGGAGATTGAGTATACAGAGAATAACAGGATGGAACTGGTCCTGGAAGAGGACAGTTAGAGGTTCAGGCTGGGCCCCAGGGACAACTTGGGTCACCCTAGGATTGTGGGAACAGGCGAGGGGGGCTGATGAGAGAGGGCTGTAAGCACCACCCAGGAGGTTCTGAGCAGGTGACAGAGTCCACTGCTAAAGTAGATGGGGACCCTGACCCCCATGCTGACAAGCCTTGTGAGGCAGAACAGTTTGTGGGAGGGATGAGGTCAGTGCAGTGTGAAGTCCCTTTTCAAGAAGTTTGGCTGGCCTCCAGACATGCCATATCTAAGATAGGGAGCTCTGCCTCCGGACCTCACCAAAGTTGTGTGGAACTGAGAAAGGACCGACCCCACAGTCAGAGGTGAGCTGAAATCCCACACAAGCCAGGCCCCACCACTGGCTGTGGGTTGGAGCCCAGAGGGGGAATCCAGCCGCCACTGGGGCAGACCGGGGGCACAGGAAAGTGTCTCCAAATGTGCCATATTTAAGACAAGGAGCTCTGCCTCCAGACATCACCAAAGCTGTGTGGAACTGAGAAAGGGCCAACCCCACAGTCAGAAGTGAGCTGAAATCCCGCACAAGCCAGGCCCCATCACTGGCTGCTGGTTGGAACCCAGAGGGGGATCCAGCAATTAGGAACCCAGGGAGTGATCCAGCTACCACCATGGCAGACCAAAGGCACAGGGAAGTGCCTCCCAGTAGCACTATATCTAAGACAGGGAGCTTTGCATCAGGACCTCACCAAAACTGTGTGGAACTGTGTGGAACTTCTCCCCACAGTCAGAGGTGAACTGAAAAACATGCACAAGCCAAGCCCTTGAGTAGGAACCCAGAAAGTTCTGGCCTTGAGTAGGAACCCAGAAAGGGATCCATAATAGGTGCCCAGGGGTGATCCAGCTACCACCAGGGCACTCTGAGGGTCCTCAAGACCCACTTCTGGTATTAAATAAATACAGAGGGAGTGGATTTCCAGGGACAGCACCCATCAACATATCCTTAGTACCGTGCCCTACTGGAATTCTGGCCTAACAGTATTGGACTTAATTGGGCCACCAGTTTCTGATATCCCAGAAGGATCACACCAAAGAAATGCCAGCTGGTACCAGCAACACAGTGTCCCAACAAATAGGACAAATTAGAAAACAAGGGCCTCCCCTGGTGGCACAGTGGTTGAGCACTAGGCTGCAAAACTGCCCACAGCCTCTACAGCACCAGTTTGATCCCTGGACACCCGTGAGGGTCCCATATGGCACGCAGACCTCTCCTGCCACCTGCTGCTCCCCTCAGCAGTGTATTTCATTGGTCTGCCTGTTCTGTTTCCTGCTCTGGCTCTGGAGAATTCTCTCACCCTCCCGTGCTTCTGACTGTACCCAGTGCTTGTATAAATAAATAAATCTTTTAAAAAAAAATTAGAAAACAAGCAGCAGGGAGAAGAAAAACTACAAGCAACCAAGCAAGTCCTCAGGGAAAAGACACACCACAAAAAGAAAATCACTCACCAGATTGCAACAACAGTGACTTGGAAGAACTTCTGAACCTTGCAGATAGAGAATTTAAAATTGCCATGATTGAAAAACTGAAAGAAGTCATAAAGGAAAACAATGATAAGGGAAAAATAATGATCAGAAGAATGAAATTGAGTCCCTCAAGAGGGAAGTGAAAGAAATGCAGGAGGTCAAAGGATTAATGGAGGAGCTAAAGAACTCTGGGCAAAGCAGTGAAAGCAGAATAGATAAAATGGAAGAATGAATAAGTGCTCTTGAAGACACAGAAATAAAAACAACCAACACAGAAAAGGAAACAGAAATATGAAGGAAAAAGAATGAAGAAAGACTTTGGGAACTATTGGACTCCATGAGGAAAGGAAATATAAGAGTTATAGGACTCCCAGAAGGAAAGGAGAGAGCCATAGGAACAGAGAAAATATTCAAGGAGCTAATCGAAGAGAACTTCCCAAACCTGAAGAAGGAGCTGAAAATAGGCACACAATAAACAAGAAGAACCCCAAACTTCCATGATGAAAGGAAAAATACAGCAAGACACATAATAGTAAAGCTCCCAAGAATCCAAGACAAGGAAGAAATAATGAAGATGACAAGAGGGAAGAAACAGGTAACATACAAAAGAAAACCAATCAGGCTGACATCAGATTTCTCCGAAGAAAGGAGAGAGTGGAGGGACATAGTCAACAAACTCCAAACAACAAATGCCAACCAAGAATCCTCTATCCCACAAAACTTCCCTTCCTCTATGAAGAAAGAATAAGGACCTTCTGAGACAAACAGAAACTCCAGAATTTCATTACGACTCAACCCCCACTCCAAAAAATATAAGGAGTCCTAAAGCCAGGAACCAACAAAGGGATGAATAAGAATGAAACAAGACAAACAATAAAACCACAGAAAAGAGCAACAAAATGGCAAATACAGACACTAACGTATCAATATTAACTCTAAATTTAATGGGACTAAACTCTTCAATAAAAAGACACAGAGTTGCAGGCTGGATTAAGAAACAAAACCCAACCTTTTGCTGCCTCTAGGAAAGACATTTAACTACAAAAGATAAAAATAGACAAAGTAAAAGGATAGAAAACAATCCTAGAAGCAAGTGGACCAAAAAAGAAGGCAGGAACAGCTATACTTATATCAGAAAAAACAGATTTCAAACTCAAAAAGGTAAAAAGAGATCCAGACAGTCACTACATCATGATCAAGGGGACAATACATCAAGAAGATATAACACTCATTAACATATACTCACCAAATGAATGAGCACCAAAATATATCAGATAACTATTATCATCTCTGAAAACAGACATCAGAGAAAACACATATGTAGTAGGAACACCACTATCAACAATGGATAGATCAATGAGACAAAAATAAATAAGGACCCTAAAGCTCTAAATCAGGATCTGGAGCTCATGGGCTACACAGACATCTATAGAACACTACACCCAAAAAAAATCTTGAGTATACATTTTTTTCTCAAGTGCACATGGATCATTCTCTAGTATCGATCATGTATTGGGACACAAGACAAAAATCAGCAGATACACTAAGATTGAAATCATACCAACCATCTTCTTTGACCATGAAGGTATCAGACTGAAATGAATCATAAAAAGAAGGCAAGGAACCCTCTCACCTCATGGAGATGAAACCCACACTACTGGAAGACCACTGGACTAACAAGGATATCAAAGAAGAAATTAAAAAATACTTTGAGTTGAACGACAAGGTGGACACCAATTTCCTAAATGTATGGGATGCAGCGAAAGCAGAAATAAGAGGGAAATATATAGCAATACAGACTCATATCAAGAAACAAGAAAGAACTCAAAGAATCTACCTAATTTCACATCTCAAAGAACTAGAAAAAGAACAACCAAAAACACTGAAACCAGTAGAAGAAAGGAAATAATAAAAATCAAAGCAGAAGTAAATGATATAGAAACTTAAAAAAAATCCGAAAGATCAATGAAAACAAAAGTTGGTTCTTTGAAAAAATAAATGAAATATCTTACGTCTACTTCTTTAATCCATTTTGGGTTGGTTTTTGTGCATGGTGTCAGGTAGTGGTCAAGCTTCATTCTATTGCATGTAGCAACCCAGTTTTCCCAGCAGCATTTATTGAACAAACTTTCTTTGCTCCAGTGCATATTCTTTGCTCCTTTGTCAAACATTATGACCATAAATCTGTGGGTTTATTTCTGGATTTTCTATTTGATTCCATTGGTCTATGTGTCTGTTCTTGTTCCAATACTATGCAGTTTTGATGATTATGGCTTTGTAGTATAGTTTGAAGTCTGGGAGTGTGATACCTCCATTCCCTTCTTTTTTTTTTTTTCAGGAGAGCTTTGGCTATTCAGGGTTTTTGGTGGCTCCATATGAATTTCATCAATAATTGTTCTATTTCTTTGAAGAATGTCATTGAAATTTTTATTGGAATAGCATTGAATCTGTAAATTGCTTTTGGTAGGATGGCCATTTTTATAATGTTAATTCTTCTAATCCATGAGCAGGGGATATCTTTCCATTTCTTTGTGTCTTCTTCTATTTCTTTTAACAGCATTTTATAGTTTTCTTTGTATAGGTCCTTTACCTCTTTTGTTAGGTTTATTCCCAAGTATTTGAATTTTTTTTGTTTTGATAATAAAAGGGATTTTTTTGATTTCTTCTTCTTTAGATTGATTGTTTGTGTATAGGAAGGCTACTGATTTTTGTGTGTTAAACCATAAAATACACAGAAGAAAATATAGGTGAAACACTACATGACATGCACATCAAAGACATCTTTACAGACACATCACCCAAAGCAGTGATAGTGAAGGCAAAGATAAACAGCTGGGACTACATCAAATTAAAGAGCTTCTGCACAGCAAAAGAGATAATAACAAAAACAAAGAGAAACCCCACCAAATGGGAGAGCATTTTTGCACCCAACACTAATGATAAAGGACTGATCACAAAAATCTGCAAAGAGCTGATGAGACTCAACAACAACAAAGAAAATAATCCAGTCAAAAAATGGGCAGAAGAGTTAAAAAAGAAATGTCTCCAAAGAGGAAATGCAAATGGCCAACAGGTATATGAAAAAATGTTCAACATCACTTGTAATCAGGGAAATGCAAATCAAAGCTACCATGAGATACCATCTTATACCAGTGAGAATGGCACATATTAAAAAAACTAGCAACAACAAATGTTGGCAAGGTTGTGGAGAAAAAGGAACTCTCCTGCACTGTTGGTGGGAGTGCAAGCTGGTCCAACCACTATGGAGAGCTATGTGGAGATTTCTTGACCTACTAAACATAGAGCTTCCATATGATCCAGCAATTCCACTCCTAGGTATTTACCCAAAGGACACAGAAACAGTAATTCCAAAGGGCACCTGCATGCCTGTGTCTATAGAAGCTCTATTTATAATAGCTAAGTTATGCAAACAACCCAAATGCCCAAAAATAGATGACTAGATCAAGAAGATGTGGTACATATACACAATGGAATATTACTCAGCAATCAAAAAAGATAAACACATGCAGTTTGCAGCAACATGGATGGAACTAGAAGGGATCATGCTCAATGAAATAAGTCAGAAAGAAAAAGAAAAATACTGGGTGGTCTCACTCATAGGAGGAATTTAGAAAACCTAAATAAGAGACCAGGAAAAAGACTAATCAATATAAAGTAAAAATCAAAATCAACAAGCAACTATAAACCAGAGACACAATGGGGGTGGGGGGTAGGGAGGGGTAGGGGTAGGGAAAGGAAGGACTAGAGTCAAAATAAGGGGGGAGGTGCAATTGTTTGGGGAATATAACCAAAATGAAAATGCATATATTGTGCAAAGATGAAAAAAGATGTAAGAATTATATAAAATAAAATATTTACATAAAAAAAAGAAAAAAGAAATGAAATAGACAAACCCCTAGCCAGGCTCACAAAGGAAAAATGGGAGAAAGCACAAATAAATAGAATCACAAATGAAAGAGGAGAAATCGTAACAGACACAGCAGAAATCTGCAGAATAATCAGAAACTACTACAAACAGTTATATGCAAACAAGTTCAACAATCTAGAAGAGATGGACAAATTCCTACTACTTTACAATCACCCAAAGCTAGATGATAAAGAATAAATAGAACATCTAAACAGCCCAATTACAAGCAGTGAAATTGAAATGGTAATCAAAACCCTCCCCCAAAACTAAAGCCCAGGAGCAGATGGATTTACAAGTGAATTCTACCAAACATCCAGAAATGAACTAGTGTTTATCCTTCACAAACTCTTTCTCAAAATTGAGAAGGAAGGAATAATACCAAAAACGTTCTATGAAGCCAACGTTATACTAATACCAAAACCAAACAAGGACAACACACAAAAAAGAAAACTACAGGCCAGTCTTTCTAATGAACACTGATGCAAAATCCTCAATAAAATTTTAGCTAACAGAATCCAACAGTGTAGCCATAAGATAATTCAGTGTATCCATAAGATATCCATAAGATAATTCATGATCAAGTAGGATTTATTCCAGGGATGCAAGGATGGTCAACATCTGAAAATCAATCAATGTAATCCAACACATCAACAAAAATAAATGTAAAAACCATATGATAATATCAATAGATGCTGAGAAAGCTCTCAAGAAAGTACAACACCCATTTATGATAAAGGCTCTTGAAACTCTCAGGATATAAGGAACATACCTCAGCATCATAAATGCCATACATGCCAACGCCATAGTCAATATCATTCTCAATGGTGAAAAGTTGAAAGCATTTCTGTTAAGATCTGGAACAAGATGTCCACTTTCACCACTGCTTTTTAGTATAATACTGGAAGTCCTAGCCAGAGCAGTAAGACAGGAGAAAGATATACAAGGAATCCAAATAGGGAAGGAAGAAGTCAGACTATCACTATTTGCAGATGATATGATAATATACATAGAGAACCCCAAAAACTCCACAGAAAAACTAATCAAACTTATCAGTCAGTTTAGTAAAGTAGCAGGATACAAAATCAACACACAAAAATCAGTAGCCTTCCTATACACAAACAATCAATCTAAAGAAGAAGAAATCAAGAAAACCATCCCTTTTATTATTGAAACAAAAAAAAATTCAAATACTTGGGAATAAACCTAACAAAAGAGGTAAAGGACCTATACAAAGAAAACTATAAAGTGCTGTTAAAAGAAATAGAAGAAGACACAAAGAAATGGAAATACATCCCCTCCTCATGGATTAGAAGAATTAACATTATAAAAATGGCCATCCTACCAAAAGCAATTTACAGATTCAATGCTATTCCAATAAAAATTTCAATGACATTCTTCAAAGAAATAGAACATTTATTGATGAAATTCATATGGAGCCACCAGAAACCCTGAATAGCCAAAGCTCTCCTGAAAAAAAAAAAAAGAAGGGAATGGAGGTATCACACTCCCAGACTTCAAGCTATACTACAAAGCCTAATACTACAAAGCCTAATCAAAACTGCATGGTATTGGAACAAGAACAGACCCACGGACCAGTGGAACTGAATAGAAAATCCAGAAATAAACCCACAGATTTACGGTCAACTAATGTTTGACAAAGGAGCAAAGAATATGCACTGGAGCAAAGAAAGTTTGTTCAATAAATGGTACTGGGAAAACTGGGTTGCTACATGCAAAAGAATGAAGCTTGACTATTACATTACACCATGCACAAAACCCAACTCAAAATGGGTTAAAGAACTAAACATAAGACCTGCAACCATAAAATATATAGAAGGAAATATATAGACAAAACACCACATGACATACACCTCAGTAACATCTTTAAAGACACATCACCCAAAGCAGTGCTAGTGAAGGCAAAGATGAACAGCTGGAACTACATCTTCTGTACAGCAAAAGAGACAGTAACCAAAAGACACCCCACCAATTGGGAGAAAATTTTTGCACGCAACACTAATGATAAAGGACTGATCACAAAAATCTACAAAGAGCTGATGAGACTCAACAGAATCAAAGTAAACAACCCAGTGAAAATGTGGGCAGAAAAGATAAAAAGAAACTTCTCCAAAGAGGAAATGCAAATCGCCAACAGACATATGAAAAAATGTTCAACATTGCTTGTAATCAGGGAAATGCAAATCAAAACTATAATGAGATACCATCTTACACCACTGAGAATATTAAAAAAAAAAAAACAAAAAACTAGCAACAACAAATGTTGGCGAGGATGTGGAGAAAAAGGAACTCTCCTACACTGCTGGTGGGAGTGCAAACTGGTCCAACCACTATGGAGAGCTGTGTGGAGATTCCTCAATCTGCTAAAGATGGAGCTTCCATATTATCCAGCAATTCCACTCCTAGGTATTTACCCAAAGGACACAGAAACATTAATTCAAATGGGCACCTGCACCTGTATGTTTATAGCAGCACTATTTACAATAGCTAAGCTATGGAAACAACCCAAATGCCCCCAAAATAGATGACTGGATCAAGAAGATGTGGTGCATATACAAAATGGAATATTACTCGGCAATCAAAAAAGATAAACTCATGCAATTTGCAGCAACATGAATGGGGCTGGAAGGGATCATGCTCAGTGACATAAGCCAGAAAGAAAAAGAAAAATACCAGATGGTCTCACTCATAGCACGAACTTAGAAAACCTAAAAAAGGCACCAGGAAAAAGACTAATTATAATAAAGTAAAAATCAAAATCAACAAGCAACTATAAATCAGAGACACACTATGGGGGGGGTGGAGAAGCGAGTAGGCTCAAAACAAGGGTGGTGGGAATTGTATGGGGAATATAACCAAGATGAAAATGCATACGTCGTGCAAAAATGAAAAATGATGTAAAAATATATGAAATAAAAATTTTTAAAAATGTTTGGCTGATGAGTAGAGAGCAAAGACAAAAGCCTGACGGGATGTTTTATAGAGTGAAGATTTGATCAGAATTTTAGCAGCAATGAAGGCAGAGTGGGAGGTCGGCAGAGGGTTTCCGGGAGCCATTGGGTGAGTGGGTGGTAATCATCAGCCAAGTGCTGACCCAGCCAGATGACTGTCTAGGCTTCTGGTGTCTCCCTGACCAGCCCTAAGCCTTCTCTTCCGAGCCCCAGCATTTGGACATGTTGCTCTGGTTTTCAGAGGCTTTGGGTGTAGTTGAGAGCAGACTGTTTTGGAATTGGGTTGAGAGTTCTGCTCCCAGCAGATCCTCCAATGCCTGGTGAGCAGCAAGCCTGAGTTTCTGGCATCTTTATGGTCCTGGCCTCTGAGCAAGCTATGTCTACTCACATTTTCTCTTTGTCTCTTGTCTGGAGCAGATCTTTCCAGGACTGATTCTCTCTGACATAAAACCAGCCAAGAGGATGAAGTTCAAGACCGTCTGCTACTTGCTCGTGCAGCTCATGCACTGCCGGAAGATGTTCAAGGCTGAGATCCCCTTCTCCAATGTCATGACATGTGAGGATGACAAGGTAGGAGGACAGGACTCACTGTCCCTTTGGGTCCAGTGATGCAAAGCTGGCTAAATTAGCCTTCAGCTTTTACATTTCATAACCCAGTAAATAATGTTCAGAACTGGTTTTCTTTTTTTTTTTTCTCTTTTAATTTTTTACACCATTGTTCATTTTTAAACAATATTTGCTTTTCTGCAGAAATCTTTTATATTGTCTTGTATTTTTTTTCAACTTCACATTTCATGTATTCATCAGTAAATTTAAGCTAAAATCCTCAGCCTTCTTCCTTCTGGATCTTTCTGGGCATGCATCATTTCCCTTTCTTGCCAGCTCAGCCATGCATTAAGTGTGTGAGTGAGTTTGTGTGTGCATGTATGTGTGTGTGTGTGTGTGTGTGTGTGTGCGATTATATTTACCTAGACTCTATCAGTGGAGAGCTTTCAGGTGATCTTCTTTGCCATTTTACCAAAGAAGACATACCAATTCATTGCGTTGCTGCTCCCCGGACTCAACTTGACACCCAGGAACAGGGCAGGAGAGTAAGGAGCCCAATTTGGGAAAATGACTTAAGCACATGCCCAAATCTCAGTATCAGGATAAATAATAGTTAATGCAGCATTTTAAAAAATGAAATTTAACCCCAAAACATCCATGGTGAATAAAACATCAAAGTTTTAGGTGAAGACAGGACAGCTAGCTCTCTTGGAACCTGAGCCAGGGGCTGAGCTCCTGCAGGACTCCTCAGAGAAGTCAGTGGGGTCAGGGACAGGAGTGGAGTCATCCTGGTCCCTTGCTTGGAGAACTGGGTTAATAAGACCTGGACATCCAGACATTTTCCTGGGCTGAGTGTGCTGACTTGTAAGCTCCTGAACTCACATTGCAGCTGGTAAACCCACAGCATTGCTGGCTGCTTCTCTGGGAGGGGTGACCTCTTCTGCTGCGAGCCAGGGCCCACCCGCTCAGACCTCAGAGTACTGGCCACAGTCCCCTGTCCTCAGTGACACTTGGGTTTGGTCACCTGTGCCCCCCTCTCCTGACCCTAGTGTGCAGGAGCTCATGTGACCTGGCTGCCCTTTGCTTCTCCCCATCAGGGGTGTGTAAGCACCCCTTCCTTCTTTCATACCAGCCTCTGGGGGCACTGCCAGGTTCCTTACTTCCTATGTCTGTCACTCCCTCACCTCCCTGGCCAAAGACATCAACTCTCTGGCTTTGTATCCATCTCATTTTTCCTGGAAGCACCGAGCCCTGCTGTCCCTAGGTTCTGTCCTTCTATCCCACAGTCTCCGTGGGTCTTTCCTGTGTGCACAGACCTCCAGGGTCCCAGGTCCAGCTCTAACACCCCTGGACATCCCTGGTGCTCAGAATACTTCCACTGTTGCCTGGCTGGCCTCTCACTGAGGGCACCTATAGGTTGGGTTTGTGCTTTGTTCTCAGGCATCCTCCATCTGAGCCACCTCCTCTCCATCATGCTGTATCCTTTAGACTCTGGTCCTTTCTCTGTGTTTTCCATGCCAGATCCAGGTGCCAGCCCCCTCCAGCATTTCAGAGGTGCTGGTGCTGGCCCTTTCCTGCCTTGGAGGAAGCCTGCTGCCCATACTGAGTCCTGTGCCATGGGCCGGGGGCACATGTGCTCCTGAGTCTGTACCTGCACCCATCATTTTTGCCTCCTTGTGCCTTCACTGTAGGGTCCAAGGCTGAGCACTCTGTTTGCACACAGTTCCCTGCCCAGACAGGATTGTCCTACTCCTACCACCAGGTACATCTGTTCCTGGCCCAAATACCATCTTCCTCTCTGTGCCCTGTGCCTTGGTCTCCATCTATGATCCCTCACCCTGGTAGTGCCCTGACTCCTATCTCTTGCCTCTGTAGGCCAGGCAGTTCCCCTTCTGCAGAGGTGGTTAGACAGCCAGACATCAAGGGAAGATGCTGTGGGCTGGGGCCTTCTGCTGCTTAGCCCCCAGGGTTGTCCCTTCATCATCCAGGTATTGAGATTAGTGAAAACAAGTTCCAGATGGGGAGGAGAGCAGTGTTTCTACCACAGGTTCCTTACTTCCTGTGTCTGCCTCACCCTCCCCTCCCTGGCCAAAGACATCAACTCTCTGGCTTTGTATCCATCCCATTTTCCCTGGGAACACCGAGCCCTTCTATCCCACAGTCTCCCACACGTCTTTCCTGTGTGCTCTGGGGTCCAGGGTTCCAGGTACAGCCCAGATGGGGGTATCAGATGGTGAAGGCAGGGCAGGGACAAGACTGTGGCCTGGGGGCTTGTCCATGCTGGTTCCAGAAGGATGGAGTGGAGAAGCCACACACTGGTGGCTTGGCCATTTGGGGAGGATGGCATGAGTGACTTCTCAAGAGACCCTGAGCAGAGCAGTCCCCTGTACCTTCTCCGCAGGGATGTTCCTGAACCCCCTCATATGCTTTAGGATGAAGTCTGTCTCCTGTGGTCCTGTCTTCTCTTTTTCTGACCTCCAGACCTGACATGTGCAGTTCCCTCAGTGTGTAGTCCAGGTGACCTTGGATATGCATCTTGAGAGCTCATTCCTCTACTATCCAGGCCTTAGAATGGTGCTTATGAGAAACTGTGTCTAGAGTTTTGGGGAGCAACTGACAAATGTATGTGGTCAACCCTAGGCCACCATCCCACTTGGCTTCCAATGTTTAGTTCTGGCTGTGGGGACTCAGCAGTGGCCTTGGCTGCTAGATGGTGATAGTGCGTCTGGCGGGTGACCAGGGCCTCTGGATATGGGCTCAGGGCTGCCAGCTGTGCCCCAGCTCCAGGCCACACCCGACGGACTGCTCTTTTTTATACTTCAGGGACAGGCTCCTACAATAACCCTCACCCTCATGTCCTTACTCTTGTTAGATTTTTTCTTTCAATATTCCTTTCTGATTATGAAAGTAATTTATCATGCAAAATATAGAAAAATACTAAAGTGCACAAAGAAGAAAATGAAAAACATTATTTATAATCTTACCACCCACAAAGAGCATGTTAGTAGCATTTCAGTCCCTCCAATTTGAGTATATGTGTATATTAACTTTTTAATGAAATTGTCCAGATGATATACAAACTGCTTATTTTTTTTCACTAGCCAATATATCATAAATATGATATACTTACTTGACCTCCATTGATATTTAAGTCATATCTACCTTTTTTGAAATATAATTAATTCACAGCATTTGTGTTCATAAAAGTATATTTACATTTCTGATCATTTTATAAAATTAAATCTAGTGAGTTAAATCTCTGGAAGAGTGGACTTGTAGTTGGTTAGATGGCTGTGCCAACATTGCCTGAGATAGCACGTAGAGACCTGCCTTCTGGTCCCTGTGGACACAATCTATTCTCTCTCTAGTCTCCTGATACTGACAGTAGATTTGTTCTTTCTAAAATGATGCCCAGAAGCCTCCTGATTCCTTCCTCTTTCCTGAATGCTGTTTTTGTCCTTTTCATACTTAAAAATACCTAAACATACTTGGTATTATAAAATAAGAATAACATGTACACATGATACACAAATAAAACCCCTAAATTGTTTATCATTCTAGGTTTCTTTCTGAAAGGTTTAACCTTGTATCAGAAGGGGAATGCAAATAGGAACTTATAACTCTCACCCAAGCCCTTCTTTTTACTCATTGACAGACCATTTGGATCTTGGAGGCTGATGCAAATCCCAATCATTTTATTAAAAAAAATTTTTTTAGTGAAATTTTATTGACTTAGCACTGGTTTATAATAGGTTGTAAGTTTCATAAATACAACTTCCCACCTCAATATCTGTATGTGTACCTCAACATACCCACCACTGAAGTTGTAGTGCTATTCACAGTATCAAGGTGACGCCTTTTACTCATTCCTCCCACCACCCCATCTACCTCCCCTCTGCAACCACCATGTTTTTATCAGAAACTAAGAGTTATATTGTTGTGTTTTGTTAGCTCATTTCCTTGATTTATTTTTATTCCTCATATGAGTGAAACTTTCTGACTTCAGCTTTGTACAATCCCTCAAATTCCTTGTTATAAAAAAGTAACATTTCATCTTTTTTTAATGGCTGAGTAGTATTCCATTGAGTATCTCTCTTCTGCCCCCAACCTCAATTTTTTAATCCAGTTATACACCAATGAGCATTTAGGTTGTTTCCATGTCTTTGCTATTATAAATAATGCTGCTGTGAATGTAGGGGTACATATATGTTTTTGAATTAATGTTTTCATATTCTTTGGATAAATACCTAGGAGTGGTATTGCTGAACCATGTAGTATTTTTACTTTCAATTTTTTCTTCATACTCTTTTTTATAGAAGTTGCATCAATTTTTAGTCCCATCCACAGTATATAAGAGTCCTTTTCCTTCACACCTTTGCTAACACTTGTTCTTTCCAGTCTTTTGGATACAGGCCATTCTCACAGGTATGAGGTGATATTTTGTGGTTTTAGTTTGCATTCACCTAATAATAAGTGATGGGGAGCATTTTGTTATGTGCTCAATAGCTAAAGCAATTTTGAAAAAAGAGAAGACATGGAAATATCATGGTCCTTGACTTCAGACTACACTACAAAGCAATAATAATCAAAAAAGTGTGGTATTTCAGCAAAAGCACATGCACTGACCAGTGGAATAGAATTGAGAACCCAGAAATAAGCCCACACATATATGAACAGTGAATTTATGACAAGAGCTAATACCACACAATAGAGAAATGAAAGTCTCTACAACAAATAATGTTGGGAAACCTGGACAGCCACTTACCCAAAAAATAAATAAATAAATAAATAAATAAATAAATAAATAAACTAGATCGTTTAACTCCATACACAAAAATGAATTAAAAATGAATTTAAAACTTGGATATAAGAGATGAAACCATAAAACCCTTCCAGAGGAGACTCTCGTATGCATGGCTCTGATGGCAGACCCCTGTCCCTGGGGAGGAGTGAGGCAACTGAGCACACAGACTCGTGCAGAGATTAGAAGGGAGGCAGCTCATTCAGTGACTGCCTCGTTGCTG